TTAATAGATGATTTTGGAAAAAAAAAGATTTTAAATTAAAATAAAAAAATTAATAATTAATAAATTATTTATTAAATTAAGCCATAAAAACAGATTTTACTGTTATTTACAGCCACGTAAGAACAGATTTATTTACTGTGGAAGAATAGATACAGTCATGTAAGGACAGATTTTATTAACCATGGAAGAACATATTTTGGTATTGCTTGAACATGGAAGGTTAAACCCCAATTTTTCGGTCCCTTGAATATTGAACAGATGCCAACTTGGCCCTTAAATTTATAAAAATCCTGATTTGATCCACAAAGTTTTGAAATTTTGGCTTTCTTGGTCCTTCTCTTAAAAATTTGCTTACGTGGCATCACATTCCGTTAAGTACTCCTACTTATGTAGAAATTAAGAACTAACGAGGCATTAAAGTATTATTTTATTTTAATTAAAAAAACGAAGATGTACACCTAATTTTTATCAGTAATGATAAATAGTATAGAACTTTGAAACAAAAATTTAATACTAATGACATTGGATATTATGTTACTAAATTAATTAATATATATATAAATAAAGGGAGAAACCATGAGTGAGAGAGAAACAGTGGAGAGAGAAACCAACTGCAAAACCCCAACAACCCTCCGTTTCGTCTGCTCCAATGGAATGGAAGCAACCTACACCTAAACCCTGTGAGTGTCATGGTGAGTGAGCACAACCAGAACCCCAACCACCCAAAACCGAGGGCCAGCATTCAACTGGGATATGATAGGACACCAAAAGGAACGTTCAGAAGCCAGAAAGGAACACCCGAAGGCTACGGCAAAGGTGTTTTAGAACAAGCTATATCCTTCTTTTTTACTAACTTCCCTAATGACTAGAGGACAGGTGAAATGTGGAAAGCTTTTATCAGATGTGGAAGGGCGATAAATGTATATGTGGCAAAGAAAAAGGACAAGTGGGGACAGAGCTTTGGATTTGTTCGATTCCTAGCGGTTAAGAACATCAAAGACATGGAGATTAAACTGAACCAGATCAAAGTTGGGCAGAGGACGATCCAAGCAAATATGGCTAGATTCTCCAACGCTGAAGATCAGATTAAACAAAAATCTCACTCTGCACTCCAACATGGTAATAAGCCGACAACAATCTCATATGCAGAAGCCGTCAAAAACGGTCGAAGGAATCATGCAGAAGCAGATAGTAGAAAGATATTATATGACAAAGGCATCAAGAAATAGTGGCGTAAGAGCAGAGCGGATCAAGATCAATGGCAGGGTCTGGAGGTGTTGGCAGAGGAAGAAGATTTGAAATGGCTTCAAGACTGCTTTGTGGGTATAGCAAAAAGGCCGGAGATCATCAGCACTCTTCAAGACAAATTTCTTATGGAGGGCTATTTTTTTTGCTAAAGTAACTCCGATGGGAGGAAATTTAGTCTTGCTTTCATCTGTAGATCATAAGGAGTTAAAAGATTTAGTTGAACACGGGAAGGATTGGTTGGCTCAGTGGTTTTCTGATGTGAGACCATGGACACCAACGGAAGTAGCTTCTGAAAGGTTTACTTGGCTAAGATGCCAAGGTGTCCCCATACACATTTGGAGAAGCAGTTTCTTTGAAACTGTGGCCCATTTATTTGGAAAATTCATATCACTAGATGTTAGCGCAATAAAAAAGAAGAGATTAGATGTGGCAAAAATCCTTATCTTGACCCCAGTCCAGGAGAACATTCAAAGGGTCTTAAGAGTCAAGGCTGGAAGGAATATCTTCCAGATTCGTGTTAACGAGGAGATTGGAGTTGATAATTTGTTCAGCTTGAGATCAGATTTCAACTTAATTAGTGATGGAGGATCAATTTCAGAGGAATGGTTGGATGAGTCCAATGGCGACTTTCATGAACATGGTAAATGGGACGGTAATTGGCAAGTAGTAGAAAAGGACGATGAAGTGCAGCCACTCTCGGGGATGGCAGAATTAGCGCTGGCAGAGTCAGAACGGTCAATGAATATGAGTATGGAAGAAGTAAAGATCTCTGAAAAGATCTATCCGCATGAGGGCTCATTAAATGCAGCATGTCAAAACTCAAATTCATTGGCTGCAGATGAGGAACCCAAGGTGAATGGTAGAAAGGCTGCTTCGGATAATTCTCTGAAGAGTGTAGAAGACAAAAGGGGTGGTGTTATGAAGCTAAGCAGAGAACATCCTAATTCATGCAGCGAACTAAATCCAAGCCCAGGCCCAAGACAAAATACCTTTGCTTTAGGCCAAAGTAGGCTGAACCAACTTGGGGTTAAGCCCAATCATGGTGATAAGGGTAGATATGGAATCACATCAAATAATGAGGTGAATTCCAGCAAAGAGGAGTCATAGAGTCGGCAATTTGGAGATGGAAAGGGGAACTCAGATGAGGCACCACAAACCCAAGAGGAAGAGGATCGACAAACTCAACCTTTTTGGGAAGGGCTAGCGAGTGAGGATGAAATCTTGCAATCAAGAGCAAAAAGGCTAGCAAGAGATAAAAAGAGGAAAAACCAAATGGAAAGAAGAATGAGGAAACAGATTGAGGTCAAATGGCATAAGAAAAAGGAGGGTAAGAAGCAAACCTTGAGTAGAGAAGCTGAAATGAAAAGGGGAGATGTACCCACCGACCAGTCAGAGCAATCGGCTTAGAGGCTAGAATTGAAGAATAGTTGCTGGAGAGAAGTAGAGGAGTTATGGTCTGTGAGCAAGCAACTGGGCTTAGTCGACAAGAACAATGCAGAAGAAATCATTCAAAGATTAAAGGAGATGAAGGAAAGAGACCGCGCTACACTAGCTTCCCAAAAAGCAACGGCGACGGCTAACAGAAAGGAAGCTAATCCGATCTGCACATGAAGATTCTATCCATCAATGCCAAGGGATTGGGGGACAGCAAAAAGAGAAGAGGTATGCAAGACTTAATTAGGAAAGAGGGAGCAGATATGGTATTCATCCAGGAATCGAAGATGGAGATATGTGATGACAGGAAATGCAAGCTTATGTGGGGCAGGGACAACTGCAGGTGGGTAATGAAAGCTGCTCATAGGAGATCTGGAGGTATTTTATATTTTTGGAATTCCAATTTATTTGAATTGAGCAAAGAAATAGTGGGTAGCGGATTTTGTGGTCTGTATGGTTTTTGGGGAATAGATAAATTACCATGTTATTTTCTGAATGTTTATGCTCCTTGTGATAGCATGGGTAAACAGTTGTTATGGAAAGAGATTCTAGATTTAATGGATGTGTGTGATGGTGGTAATTGGTGTATAGGAGGTGACTTCAACGCAATCCGTAGTAGAGAAGAGAAAAGAGGAAGACATTTTGATTCTATTGCCATGAGAGACTTTAATAGTTTTATTGACGAAGCAGGATTAGAAGGTTTGCGATTGTTGGGAGGGAGTTTTCCTTGTTTCAGTTTTGTTGGTTCGGCATTGGTTGGGTTGGTTGGTTTTTTGTTTTTTCTTGGTTTTTTTTTAACTTTTCTTATTTTATTTCAAAAGGTTTTAGTTGGGGTTTTTTCGGCCCCTTGCCCGTTATTGTTTTTTGGTTCAGTCAGGGTTTGGGGGCTTAACCTTTTCGGACTTTTGGCTTGTTGTTTTGACTTCAAGGATTTTGGCCTTTTGTTCAAGAGAAATGGAACAGTTAGAATGTGGAGGGTTGGAATGGCTTCAGATTGAAGGAGAAATTTAAAATGCTAAAGAATGACTTAAAGGAATGGAATAGGGAGGTGTTTGGGCACATTGACAGGAAATTAGAGAAGATAAGATGCGAGATCAAGAATTTAGATGACATAGTTGAAAATGGAGGTCTATCAGAATCTGAAATTGAACAAAGGCGATCTTGCTTTCAGCAATTCTGGGAGTGGAACTCGAGAAAGGACAGCCTGTTATTTCAAAAGTCAAGGCAGAAATGGCTCCAGGAAGGTGATGCCAACAGCAAATTTTTCCATGGATGCATTGTGAAGAGAAGAAGAAGAAATGGGATAGAAGGTGTTATGAAGAATAATACTTGGGTTGAGGAAGTCCCAAAGGTGAAAAAAGCTGTCAAAGAATATTTGAACTCAAGTTCTAGAAGGATGAATGGGACAAACCTAGCTTAGAGATAACTGATCTAAAGCAACTGATTCTAGAGGATAAAAGCTGGCTGACGGTAAAGTTCTCAGAAGAAGAAGTAAAGGAAGCTGTGTGGAATTGCAATGGGAGTAAAAGCTTGGGACTTGATGGATTCAACTTCAACTTCATTAAAAGAATGTGGCCAACCATAAAGCAAGACATTGTAGCCTTCGTCAAAGAATTTTGGGAGAATAGGAAATTGGTGAAAGGAAGAAATTCATCCTTCATAGCCTTAATCCCAAAGAAAGAATCTCCACAAGGCTTAGGGGATTTCAGGCCTATCTCCCTAATCGAATGCTTGTATAAAATAATCTCTAAGCTTCTTACTAATAGATTGAGAAAGGTGATGCCACTGATCATTAGCCAAAACCAGTCAGCATTTGTAGGAAAGAGACACATTGTAGATGGTATTGTAATTGCAAATGAGGTTATCCATGAAGCCAAGAAGAGAAGGAGGCCCACATTGATATTCAAAGCTGATTTTGAAAAAGCCTACGATAGTGTCAATTGGAATTTTTTAAATTTGATGATGGAAAAATTCGAATTTTGTCTAAAATGGAGAAAGTGGATCATGGAATGCTTAGCTACTTCAACTGTTTCTGTTCTAGTGAATGGTAGTCCTATAGCGGAATTTAGCATGGAAAAAGGTTTGCGACAAGGTGATCCCTTAGCCCCATTCTTATTCCTTTTAGTTGTTGAAGCACTTAACGGGTTGATTCACAAAGCAAAGGAGTTAAATATGTACAAGGGAGTGGAGGTGGGAGAGGAACGGCTAGAGGTCACACACCTCCAATTTGCCGATGACTCCATTTTCTTCTGTGATGCACTAGACTCGAATATTAAAACAATCAAGGGGATCCTCTGAACCTTCGAGCTTGTCTCGGGACTCAAAGTGAATTTTTTCAAAAGTGCTTTGTATGGAATCAATGTAAAGGTAGAGGATATAAGTGAATGGGCAAAATCTCTAAACTATGTGGTGGGTGCAGTGCCATTCAAATATCTCAGGATACCAGTTGAAGCTAACCCAAAGAAGCTATCAACCTGGGCACCTGTTATTGACTGCCTGAGACACAAATTGTCAAACTGGAAATGTGAATCGCTGTCCTTTGGTGGAAGAATTGTCCTCCTTAATGCTATCCTGTCAAGTATCCTGGTCTACTTCTTTTCAACCATGAGAGCACCTAAAAAGGTATCTAATTTGCTGGCCTTAATTCAAAGGAGATTTCTATGGGGAGGTAAGGAGGGTTATAGGAAAATAGCATGGGTGAGTTGGGAGAAAGTATGTAGAAGTAGAAAAGAGGGAGGATTAGGTGTTAAAGACTTGGACAGATTTAATATGGCTCTCTTAGGAAAATGGAGATGGAGGTTGGTGGTTGAAAAAGAGGCATTATGGAACAGGGTAGTAGAGGCAAAATATGGGGTTCATAAGAAAAGGGATTGGGAGGGGAAAAATGTGAAGCATAATTGTTCATATTGGTGGAAGGCAGTGTGGAAGCTAGATAAAGAAGTAGGGCATAATGAGGGATGGGTTTACAAGGGCTTGGTGAAAAGTGTGGGGGAAGGGAACGACACGTTCTTTTGGTAGGAGAAATGGTGTGGGGAGATGACTCTTAAGGAGAAATTCAACAAGCTATTCAGAGTGGTAGAAAGTAAGGAAGCTTTGATTAAAAATATGGGCGAATGGAAGAATGGAGAATGGACTTGGAAGTGGAGTTGGCGTAAGGAGTTGATTGGAAGAAAGCATACCTTATTGCAGGACCTTGAGAAGCTGATGCAAGAATGCAAACTGAAGGAAGGAAGGCAAGACAACTGGAGTTGGAAGCATGATCCGAATGGATCTTACTCAACAAAATTTGCTTACTCCCGTTAAATATCAATATAGAGGAGCAGGAATCAATTCAATTCAGCAGGTATGGAATCCTATGGTGCCACTTAAAGTCTCAGCTTTTGTGTGGAAATTTTTGCAAAATAGAATTCCTACTGGTGAAAATTTGCTAACAAGAGGCATAGGTGGAGGTGAACCGGATTTTGCATGTATTTTATGTGGAAAACAAATGGAAACAATAAGCCACTTATTCTTCACTTGCGAGGTAACCTGGGCAGTTTGGCGAGCATTTTATGCATGGTGGGGACAATAAGGTGTTCTTAGATGTGAAGGTTGGAAGCATCTGCAGCAACACACAGGCATGATACGAAATGGAAAATTAAAAGAAGCTTGGTATGTGTCATGGTTCTTAGTTATCTGGTCCATTTGGCCATGGAGAAACCAATTAACTTTCAAGGAAGGCAAGGACACTCCTGATACAGTGCTGGAATTAATCAAGGTACGCTCACTTCACTGGATTAAGGCCAAGACTAATTCTGAATTGGCTAAAGAACAATGGTGGAAGAATCCTAAGGAAGCGCTTAAATGAAATAGAATTAGCTTGTGATTAAGTAGTGGGTTTGATCTGATTTTGTAATTCAAGATATTTGCAGGATGATGTAACGGGTTGGAGTACCTCTTGTACTCCTGTTTCTAATTTAATTAATCTTCATTTTGCCAATAAAAAAAATTAATATAT